GGGGGGGGGGGGGGGTTACAGGAGGTGCAGACTAAAATGTTCCTTTTTTCTGAGATAGAAAATAAGAAATCGGTGCTTCTGTGTACAACGCATTCCAATATGTTGTTTTCTTTCCTCAGGTTTGGCCAGGGCCAGACTCTGCAGACGGATTACATCACATACATGGACCAGCTGGGCTCCTTCATAGGAGCCAAGCCTAACATTCCATGGCTCTTCCTGACTGATCCCCAGCTGGCCCTGGAGGTGTACTTTGGTCCTTGTAGCCCATACCAGTTTCGACTTATGGGACCGGGGAAGTGGGATGGGGCCAGGAATGCCATCCTCACCCAATGGGACCGGACGCTGAAGCCAACCAGAACGAGAGCTGTCAGTAAAGCTTACAGGCCCCAACCTTTTTACAACTTGCTTAAAATGCTTTTATTCCCACTGCTTCTCCTGACTGTGTTGCTTACGTTTTATTAGCGAGAAAGTTCTGTGGGTCTCAGAATTCAGCCTAGCACTACAATTGCAGACATGCCTAGACACATCCACATGCAAAACCTCACAGCTGCTCTTGCCCTTCCTGCAGACACACAAATGAATTCCAGCACATTTGATTCAAAGTCTAAATAAAATGAAAAGTACTCAGCCTCTCCTTTCTTTTTTTTTAATTTTAATTAAAGTTTATCGGGGTGACCATGGTTAGTAAAGTTACACAGGTTTCAGGTGTGCAGTTGTATAATACATCATCTATATATCACATTGTGTGTTCACCACCCAGAGTCAGCTCTCCTTCCATCACCATGTATTTCCTCCCTTTTACCCTCATCTACCACCCCTCCCCCCTTACCCTCTGGTAACCACTAAGCTATTGTCTGTGTCTATGAGGTTTGGTGTTTTTTTTTATTAGTTTCAGGTGTACAAAACAATGTAATAGACATTATACCCCTCACAAAGTGATATCCCCCTGCCCCAATCTACTACAGAGGCTGACATCATATATAGCTGTTACAGTTCCACTAATTCTATTCCCTATGCTGTTCTCCACATCCTGTGAATATATATATATAAAATTACAGTTGACATTCATTATTATTCAGCTATTCAGCTTCAGCTTCAGGTGTACACTGCAGTGGTCAGGCACCTACACCATCCATGAAGTGGTCTCCTTAATAATAATACAAGTGTCCATCTGATACCCTACAAAACCTTTAAAACATTATTGATTATATTCCCCAAACTGTCCTTCATATCCCCATGGCAATCTTGTGGTTACCAATTGTGCTCTCTAATCCACTCACCTTCTCCCTCATCCTCACCCCCTCTGCAAATCAATTAATGTGATACACCACATTAACAAAATGAAAAATAGAAATCATATGGTCATTTCAATAGATGCAGAAAAGCATTTGACAAAATCCATCATCCATTCATTATAAAAACTCTAAAGTAGGAATAGAAGGATCATATCTCAACATAATAAAGGCCATATGTGATCAACTTACAGCTAACATACTCAATGGGGAAAAGCTAAGACCATTCCCCTTAAGATCAGGAATGAGACAAAGTTGCCCACTTTCTCCATTTTTATTCAACATAGTTCTGGAAGTTCTAGCCACAGCAATCAGACCAAAAGAAATAAAAAGCATCCAAATTGGGCCGGCCGAGTGGCGCGATGGTTAAGAACTCGCTTGGGATGCCAGAGGGCCCCGGTTCGGATCCCACATATGAGGGCCAGTGACACTGCCCTCCACAGCTAAGATGCTGAACAACAGCTCAACCTGGAGCTGGGCTGCCATGAGTCGCCGGCGACAGCGTAGGCTGCAGTCCCTGTGGCAGTGGATTGCCATGGGCTACCGTGTGTGGCCAGCAGCCAGTGTGAGCGGCCAGCAGCCGCAGTGAGCGGCCGTCCAGAAGCCGGCGACTGATCTGCCTCGCCAGAGAAGAGCGCAATGATGGTGCCAACTTGGGCCAGTGAAGCAACATTCTCCACAACTAGATTGAAGAACAAAACAACAGCAACTTGTCTGTTCCCCTTTCCCCAATTCCCCAGCGCTGTTCCCATCCCCCCAATTCCCCAATAAAAATCTTAAAAAAAAAAAAAGCATCCAAATTGGTAAGGAGGAAGTAAAATTGTCATTATATGCAGATGACATGATACTATAGAGAGAGAACCCCAAAGATGCCACCAAAAACCTATTAGAACTGATTAATGAATTTAGTAAAGTAGCAGGATACAAAATTAATACTCAGAAATCAGCAGCATTTATAAACACCAATAATAAACTATCAGAAGGAGAAATTAACAAAACAATTCCATTTAAAATTGCTTCAAAACTGTAAAATACTTAGGAATAATTTTAACCAAAGAAGTAAAAGCTCTGTACTCAGAAAATTATAAGACACTGAAGAGAGAAATTAAAGAAGATACAAATAAATGGAAACACATACCATGTTCATGGGTAGGAAGAATATAGTTAAAATGTCCATACTGCCTAAGGCAATATACAGATTCAAGACAATTCCTATCAAACTACCAAGGACATTTTTCACAGAAATATAACAGATAATCCTAAAATTTACATGGAACCATAAAAGACCGAATAGCCACGGAAGTCTTGAAAAATAAGAACAAAGTGGGAGGTATCACAGTAACTGACATCAAATCATACTACAAGTCTACAGTAATCAAAACAGTATGGTACTGGCATAAAAACAGACACATAGATCAATGGAACAGAATAGAGAGCCCAGAAATAAACCCATGCCTATATATGGTCATTTAATCTACAATAATGGAAGCAAGAATTTACACTGGGGTAAAGACAGTCTATTCAATAAATGGTGCTGGAAAACCTAAACAGACACATGCAAAAAAAAATGAAGCAGGACCATCTCCTTACACCATATACAAGAATAAATTCAAAATGGACTAAAGACTTAAATGTAAGCTCTGAAACCATGAAATTCCTAGAAGAAAATATAGGAAGTAAATTTGCAGACATTACCCTTAGTAATATTTTTACTGATATATCTATCCCCTTGGGCAAGGGAAGTAAGAGAAAAAATAAACATATGGGATTACATCAAACTAAAAAGTTTTTTCACAGCAAAGGAAACCATCAATAAAACAAAAAGTCATCCTACTGAATGGAAGAAGATATTTGTCAACGATGCATCTGAAAAGGGGTTAACATACAAAATTTATTTAAAAAGCTCATTCAACTCAACACCAAAAAACAACAACAACAACAAAAACTAACGATCCAATTTAAAAAATGGGCAGAGGACATGAAGAGACTTTTTTCTAGAGGAAAAACAGATGGCAAACAGACTTATGAAAAAATGCTCAACCTCAGCAATCATTAGAGAAATGCAAATAAAAACCACAATGTAGTATCACCTCATACCAGTTAGAATGGCCATCATCAACAAGACAAATAATAACAAGTGTTGAGGCTGTGCTGAAAAAGGAGCCCTCATACACTGTTGGTGGGAATGCAAAGCAGTATAGCCACTATGGAAGGCAGTGTGGAGGTTCCTCAAAAAATTAAGAATTGAATTGCCATATGACCCAGAAATCCCCTCTCCTGGGCATCTACCCCTCCAAATCTGAAAACATTTATCCATAAAAATATATGTACTCTGATGTTCATTGTAGCCTTATTTACAGTGGCCAAGACATGGAAACAACCAAAGTGTACTTTGATAGACGATTGGATAAAGAAGATATGGTACTTATATACAATGGAATACTATTCTTCCATAAGATGAAACAGCCTCTCCTTTCTGATGAGAACCTATACTTTAAAATTCTCTTCACATGCTGAATTGGCAAGTTTGAACATGCTTAGGATAAAGAAGATGGGAGAGAGAATGGGAGTGAGCAGAGATCTGTAGGCTGAACAAAGTTTAATAAATTTTTAAAGGATGTTTTGTGGTGACAAGAATTGAATCACAACCATATTGAATCTTCCAACCTATGACACAGTATACCTTTCCATTTATTTAGATCTTTAATTTCTCTCAGTGTTTTGTAATTTTTAAATGTATACGTCTTACCCATCCTATGTTATATTTATTCTAAATATTTCATATTTCTGGATGTTATAGTTTCACTTTTTCCATTTACATTGTTTATTGCTAACATATAGAAATGCTGTCATTTGTTCTACTAACTTTTATGTAGATTCCATAATACTTTCTACATAAATAATCATGTCTGAAAATAAAGATAATTTTACTTCTCCCATTCCAGTTTGGATGTCTTTTATTTCTTTTCCTTGCATTATTGCACTTGCTATTATAGAAATTCTGGTATAATGTGGAATGTGGAATAGAAGTGGTGCCATCAGAGGGCCGGCCGAGTGGC